AATCTGTCCTCATGGAGCAGCCACCCATCCTGATGTGCTCACAGGTGACCAGGTGTAGGTACCAGATCTGCTTGGGGCCCCGCCCTTTCTTATGACGTCATCATATGACAATGCCACTCGGACAAAATATATTGCACCTGTTTCTTAAGAATCATACGATTTCTAGAGTCTCAACATATTATTACCCATTAAATAATTACTTAGATATTGACAAGTGAAAACTAAAAACTCAAAGTCCCAAAAGGGGAGAACCATGATAGCTGCTCTGTTTAAGCTAGCTGCACATTGAAGTAGCTCTGCTAGCTTGATTCGGATATTCTTTTCAGTTCCTCCATTTGTGGATAAAAGTTTATTTTTCCAGATATTGTTTTATGATATCAGATGTTGGAGGCTGTGTAGCTTGGAGGATTTTCAGACATTTGTTATGATTTGTAACCATAGCAACCATAGCAAGTTGCTTTTTGGAGACCTGGAAGCGTCTCATTAACATGTTGGTGAAGATTTTCAGTCATCCAGGTCATAGTCATCCCAAAAAAGTAAAAAAAAAAACAACAATCCTCTGGACTTTTTTTTCAGGTTTGAAGATGTTTCGCTTCCCATCCAGGAATCTTTTTCTATTAAGTTCGAGATTTTATAGAGTAGCCCAACAAAGCCTTGTTTTTGCTTAGAAAACATGCAAATTGACCCCTTGGAATGAGGGTTGTTTTTTTTCTTTTTTTAGCCTGCAATGCCCCCCCATACCTGTCGAGGTCTCTGAAAGGGGGGTTGTTGAAGGGAATTGTTGGCCTGGCTGAATAGGCGGGGTCTACTGTTCCCCTGTAAAGGTTTCTGTTGCAGGGAAACAATAGACCCCGCCTATTCAGCCAGGGCTACTGTATAAAGCAACTCAACGCTATTTCTGAAATTTGAATTGAAAAAGCTTCCTGGATTGGAAGCAAAATTTCTTCAAACTTGGAAACAAAGTCCAGTGGATTGTTTATTAACGTTTTTGGAATCCCATTAACCTTGCAAAAGCTGAAATAATAATAAGTTGAGTTAAAAGGAAGGTAGATGCAGGAGATTAGGGAAGAGAGAGGAGGAGGAAATTCAGGTCTTCTCTTCCATCAAACATTATTGGACTTAGCAAGTACAGAGAGTCGTAAAACTTTACCACAAAAAGCATTGCAGAAAGTACTTTTTGTGTGTTATGCATCACCTTATTACAAAAGTAATTGCACATGAACTAAAAAAGGTTGGTAAAACAGTTGGCGTCAGTTGATCTGAGTTGAAAACATTATCCCTCCTGCCATCATCCATTGACCAGTCCCTTTCTGTTCATCCCGTTTACCTGTCCTCTGCCCTCGACCTTCTCTCTAACCCCCCATCCCCCACTTCTTTCTTCCACTCTCCTTCCTGTCTGCTCTTCCCTAACCTTTCCCTCTCCAATCCCACATAAACACCCCTCCCTGCCCGTTTCTCCTCTCCCAGTCGTCCCATCCAGCCCGACCATGGCGTCGTCAACCAGCCTGGCGTCCAACTGCAGCAGCTCCTCCGGCATCTTCTCTTTCTCCCCGGCCAACATGGTCTCCGCCGCCGTCAAGCAGAAGAGCGCCTTTGCCCCCGTCGTTCGGCCCCAGAACTCACCCCCTCCTACGTGCACCAGCGCTAACGCTAACAGCCTCCAAGGTAAACTGAAAAACATGCAATTCTAAATCTGGAGCTGCTGTTTAGTTGTTTTTATTGTTTATCTATAATTATTTCTTACTCTTCTTCCTTTAATCCTCCCTTTCTTTTTAATCCTTAATTGATATCATCACCCTTTCCCCCTCTTCCTTGCAACACTAATCTACTATTCCTCCCTACTTTAGATCAGTCTTTTGTGGACTCTAGCAAGTACTCATCAGCCAGCTCTCTGCAGGGCCTGGCCTTCTCTTGAAGTATGTTATCCTTTCTTTTCATTTTTTCCTCTCCACATTTTTTTTGCACTCTTTAAAGTTCTGCTCAGAAACTTACATTTTCTCTTTAGTCAGCAATATCTGAACCCAGGCTTGGACTGGTAATCTGAGATACAGGGCCGGTCCTAATTTCACCGTGCAAATCCAATGTTAACTACCTAAAGGATGCATGCAGTATATAAACCCCATCCTTGTGACGGTTGGCATATGGTGTAATTTTCTATTTCTTCAAACTGTAAAATCCTTGCAACAAACTAAATTATAATAAAACTAAAATCCTTTCTTTAACCGTTTAAAGCCAAGTGTATCATTTGATACGGTGGATTTTGAAAACTCTGCAGCATCAGTGTGATGTTTTTGTTCTTGAAACCCTGACTTACATAATCAGACACATGTAGTGAACAGAAAACATATAAAAGATGATATAGAAATGCGTAATACATCAAAATTGATGTTTTTTTTTACAAAATTTATATAGTTATTTCATTTGTCACAAAGTTCAATGACAGTTCTTCTGTCAATTATTTCCTGGTTCAGGCTTTTAAGGGTTAAAACAAATTACGATGTTCCTCTTATATTTGCAATTTTTATATTTTGCAAAAATATGTTGCGGTGCATGATGAGGTTTTGCATCTAAAGGCTAACGTTTCCCGTCTTACATACATTGTTGCCAGGTTGGGATGTTTCCCAATCTGGCAGTTTAGGGTAAAAAATGTTTTTCTTTAGATTTATGGCCTAAGAGATCAACAGACGTTGCTTGAAATTGGGCAAGATTTCATATATACTCCATTTACGCTACCCTTGAAAAACCGATCCATGCCGAGACTGGTCCGAGCTCGGATCAGTTAACCAGGCCGAGCTCGGTTCTGACGACCGTTTACACATCACGCTATCTCGGTTCCTCGCCTCCTAGTGACGATCTGCGGTATTACTGCCAGTATTGAAGGAGGAAATCAAGCAGTTGGTGGCGGTAATGCACCAAAAGTTGTTTGCCAACCGCCATAAAACACAAGAAGAAGAAGAAGACGAAGAAGGAGGGAATTGTCATTACCCGATCCGTACTGGAAGCACGATCCGTACCATCAGCTCATTTGCGCCTGCGCGAACAGAATAACTTCCGGTGGAAATATTTCCGTTTTCTTACTTTTTTATTCTTTTGTATTTTTTAGAGGCATGGGTTTCTTTTTGTATATCTTTGTATTTTCCTCAATATTGCATTTTTTTTTTTATAAAAAAACAGAAATACATAAAAAAGTTCAATCGCCTTGTGATAGTTACTTTGAGTGCTCTGACCATGCGCAAATATACGTCACACAGTGTATATATTTAAATTTGTTTAAATATTTGATTTACTCTGTACTTAACTATGCACTCCAGCAGTACTGATCCCACAATGGATTCATTTGCTACCTTTCGTGACCTGCAGTTTTTCATTGATAAGGGAACATTTCCCGAAAATTTGGATTTTTATTCCAGAAAAAATGACGTCAAGCAATACAATGGATTGAATTTAAAAAGCATCCATTTCTTCCAGAAAAGTCTTCAATATTGTCTTTACGATGTAGTTTAGTATTCTTTAATTATTTAAGGACATAAATAAAGTTTTTTCAGTACCGTAATTACATTATTTTTTGGCGACCCGGAAGTTATTCTGTTCGCGCAGGCGCAAATGAGCTGATGGTACGGATCGTGCTACCGGTACGGATCGGGTAGCTACAGGAATCAAGCAAATCAAAATGGCGGCGCCCGTCACATTCAGAAAGTTATGCTTGATTATTTTTGCTGTACTTCGGTGTTATTATTTTAAATGCCATTATTTAAAATGTTGCGTGGAGAAGATTTTTGTTTATAGTTTCAGAAGAAGCTGTTGTTCTTCTGTTTCCGGAGGGGCATTACCGCCAACTACTGGAATGGAGTGTGAATCGCGATGTGCAGCCAGACGGAGATGACGCGTTCTGCTCATGCGCTCTTGTTATCAGAGAACCGAGGCAGGGAAAAACCGAGCCGAGCCCACCTCTGGAACCGGTCTGCAGTTAGCTCGGTCCGGTTGTGTCTAGCTCGGTTCAGTTCAGTTTGCTTTCCATTTACACACGATAAATTATCTCAGGTACCGAGCTCGGACCGGTCTCTGCACGGTTTTTCAGGGGTAGTGTAAATGGGGTAATATATATAAGTGGGCCGGTGTAGATGGAACAATGCCAGTGCCGAAAATCGTTCCCAGTCCGAGCCGGTCTCAGCCTATGGGTTCAATGATGACAGCTGATAACATCTGCAGCTGAGTTTGTGTAAATTTCTGACTGGAACTGAATGGAGCACTTATTTACACCTTTCTTTGTGTTTTTTTTTTTTATATTTTGGTCACTCTTGATTTGTCAGTGTGACAATATGCCACACCATATGTGTTGTATTTCCTGTTTTGGCTTCCTGTTTCCTGCCTGTACCCCCGGTTGGTGTCTCTCTAGGGAGAGAAGGGGGGGTTGGTGACGCCGTTATGCCAACGTGGATCATTCTGTTCTCCCATTTCCACTGAATGCAGCACGCTCTCCGTTCGTCTAGGCAGGATGTTGTATAGTGTTGAGATCCTGAATGAGAGAGAGGGAGAGATGATGGATGGGAATCTTTATCAGAGCCCCAAGCTAAGCACTTCCTCGCTTCCTCTGGCGGCGTTGATGAGCGCTGACCACAGTGACCCGAGACCCAATGGCCACTGTGCGCCGATCACACGCACACACACTCACATAGCTCTGTTAATCCCAACAAGCCAGAGACTCTAAGGGGAATAACCGGGGAATTAGTGGATTGAAGAGAGAGCGGGGAATCAATATGGAGCCAATATGTTATATGAAAAAATCCTCCCTGTGATAGCTTCCTAGTAAAAATGAGAGAAGGGGAGGGGGTGCAGGAGGAAGACATCACAAGGTAGAGCCGATCTAGATATAGATAACCGATACGAAGTAAAAAATTGTGAATGAAGCCGACGATTTCAAAGTTCCGTTTCCTCATCTTTTTAAGTATTTCATTTCATCACGTCTGTCATTCAGAATCACCGCCATGTTTGATTTGCTGTCCACCCGCTGTATCCGCTAAACGCTCAGCTCTAGCAGCACACGAAGCCGCTTAGAAGGGCCCGCGAATAACTGAGCCATGTTGTCGACACAAGAAAGAAATGTTTTCATTCCCCGGCTTAGGAATGAAGAGATAATGAAGCAAAGTCGTCTTTGTGCGCCAGATGTCGGAGTGCATTTCTCATATGTGACTGCTTTGATGACAGATATAACCCAGCAAACATGTGACTGACCTCTCTCACTCTCTCCCACCCCCCCTTTCTTCCCTTACCCCTTTTCTCCCTTTTTTTTTCCCCTCTCCCACACTAAGCAGCAATCCCTGGGATGATTGTTCCACCCATGTAGAGGATGTGGGAAGCAGGAGTTTTTTTAGGGGGAATGCTGAGAGGAAAGGACCCGGTAGCGAAGCCTGGCGAGTCTCCATTATTCTCCAGGAACCGAAGATAAGATGCGGGGCTGTGAAACTCAGGCTTTTCCAAAGGGGATTTCATCGGAATGGGAGATAAAGGAGACATATTGAGCCTTTGTCATGTTTTTTTGTTTTTAAATCCCTTTTTTTTGGTTGAATTAGTGTAGCATCTCTGACGCCATGTTGGATGGAGTTTAAAGAGACAGTGAGACACTGACCTCATGAAAAGAGCATTTATTTATCTTGATGTTTATGGCTGGAAGCTTTGGGTTTGTTCGCAGAAGGCCTCGGCGGCGCCTGTTCTGTCCGTTGGCAGCAACTCGCACAGGTCTGCAACACAAAATACAAAGAAAACAAAGAAAAGAACAAAATCCGTCCTCATTGTTTGCTGCTAATTATCTCATAAATCTAAAGAATTGTCCTTTTTAAGATCCCCCCCCCAAAAAAAAAAAAAAACCTGCCTTTGTGTTTTTTTTTCTTTCATTTCTCGTTTGTTTGTATGACTTTTGATAAAACTGTGAGGATTGAGCTGTTTGCAATATGCTTTTACCTGCTTTGTGATGTGAAGAAAAAGGTGAAGATTTAGACTTTTTTGTTTGGAAATGTTAGTGAAGACTTGAAAAGCCAGAGGATGCGCACGTCCAGCCAGCACTGGTATTGAAGGAGCCTAGCAATTACCGAATTTAACAAAAAAAAAAAAAAAAGCGTGATATATGTGATATATTTTTGTATATATGAAATAAAAAGGTTAACCTCTGTCCTGTTTTGTTTAAATCTGGCATCTCGTTCCCTTTTGCTTTAGCTCTAGTTTTGGGATGTAAGCATTAAAACGTCTTATGGCAGCTTCTCAGTACAGACAATAGATTTATTTTATTTTTTTCTGTTGTTAAAAACTCATCTGCAAAACATGACAAAAAACACAAATTTGGATTTGAAGAAAAAGGGGGGAAGTCCTGTAAAATATTCTATAAATAATGTATTTATCCTATGTATGTACATTGACTTTCACCATCGTTTCGTTGTGTTGTGTATGTTTAATACAAGTAACTGAACATATTTCACAGTGTTTTGCTTTGTTACTGTTGTCTCTCACTATTTAAATGTGATTTTTTTTTAATGTTGACTGTTTTAGCATTGATAAACCTTTTATTTCTCATTCAAAACATGCCATTGTCTATTTTTGTATGATTTGTAAGTTAATAAAAAGAAGTCGTTTCTTTTTTTTCCTTATGAAAAATGTTTATTGTACGGCAAAAAAGTAGCATCTTTACAGAGTATTTGGTTGAGGTAGATTTTTTTAAGAATATAAACACACATTAATATATGCTGTAAATCTATATCATTTGGTTTGAGACTTTTACTGTTCTTGATCTGGTAATATGCATGGGTTATTCTTTTGAGCGACTGCTTTCTGGATGCGTGGTGCGTGCGTGCAAACCAAGAGACCTAAGGAAACGCTTGGTTTCTTCTTTTGTAGTTTTCCTTTTTTAGTTTCTCCCTTTGTTCTTTCTTTTATGTTATTTATGCCTGCTTACATCTACTATCTATATACTCCTTCTTTTTTTCTGCCACTGTAATCTTTACCAGCAGTCTAGATGCCTTAACAATGCAAACCCTTTTTTCTTCGTTCAATCACGTGTACAGTTTTCTACCCTTCAACCACAATTGTGTGTTGCCACAGAGGAATTCACAAGAACTTTGGGGACAAAGCACAAACCCGCTCTGTTCGGTGCTGAAGCCAGACTAGAATACAAAGAGCCATAATTCAACCATCTCACACGCCCCGATGTACTATAATGCTACGGCAATGGCATGCTTTGAAAAAGGCAGTCGGGGCAGACTGACTCTGCCGCGCCTGCTGCACATTAATGTTGGGCAAAAAGATAGGGGGGGGTCACAGATTGTGTAGCATTTTATTCCGACAACAACATGGCGGTTATGTTGATTTCAGTTTAACGACACAAAGTAGTACTTTTTGGATTTTAAAAGATTACTTCACAGCACAATTTAATACCCACCGGACCCTGGCCCCCCCTACGCCCATCAGCCGTCTCCTCTCTGTGTCCGCTGTGTGTCTTCAAGCTGTTGCGGGACGGGGGGGGGGGGTGAAAGGGGGCTGTTCTCTCTTTGCTTTTCTTTTCTACGGGCCTGTTTTTGTTAAAGCGGGTTTTTAAAAAACAGGATCGTTTTCAGAGGCGGCGCCTGCTGACGGAGAAGTGTTTTAAGGCACTTATGCAG